GATTTTACAGATTTTTCGCAACAGCCCAATAGATCATAGCTTAGTTACAAAAAAAAGAGCTCAGTTACGAACTGATTATTCAAACAGTTCGTAGTAAAATCTGAGTCCTTTTTTTTTTGTGTTTATTCGGCGATTTTACAGATTTTTCGCAACAGCCTAATAGATCAGAGCTCAGTTACAAAAAAAATAGAGCTTAGTTACAAACTGATTATTCAAACAGTTTGTAATAAAATATGAGACCTTTTTTTTTGTGTTTATTTGGCAATTTTACAGATTTTTCACAACAGGCCAATAAGATCAGAGCTCAGTTACAAAAAAAATAGAGCTCAGTTACAAATTGATTATTCAAACAGTTTGTAATAAAATTAGAGTCAGTTTTTTTTGTGTTTATTTGGCGATTTTACAGATTTTTCACAACAGCCCAATAGATCAGAGCTCAGTTACAAAAAAAATAGAGTTCAGTTATAAACTGATTGTTCAAACAGTTTGTACTAAAATCTGAGTCCTTTTTTTTTTTGTGTTTGTTTGGCTCATTGGGTTACTCAGCATAGACTTTGATGAGTTGATTAAAATTTTTTTGAGTTGCAAGGGTGTGAGGTCCTTCTCCTGAGCCCCTTTTTCAAACATTGGGTAAAGCAAAGTGATTCGGTCTTGTGAAAATTGTTAATAGATTGCATCTTACTCGAGTTAGGCATTTCATGTTTTTCTTCTTGGCATATTTTGAGTTAATTTGTAGCATGTGTATTAAAATTAAAGGTTCTTGTCATGATTGACATGATTCCATCTTACTGAGTTATTTTGAGTTCCTTCTTGGCATAATTGCATCTTATTGGGTGATTAGAGGTTCTTGGTGTTCACTTTCATCTTTTTTTTTTTTTCTTATTCATTCTGGTAAAGTGGTCAAATAAGGATACTACTTACGGTGACTTTGTTTGCATGTTTTGAATAAATAGATTGAATTCAGGAAGATGACAGCCTGATATATTTTTAATTGGTTTCTACAAGGTTTGTGTTTCCTGGTTCTTGGTTATTTGAGCCATTTTGGTTATTTCAATTCCTTCTTATTTAATATTTTTGTTACCGATCTATGGTTACTTGATTTGATCCTTTCTGACTGGAGTTTATCATATTCGTTCTTTTGTTTTTCAACTTCTAGAATTTGCTTGTTTGAGTCGTTCCAACAATGACTTCAGCAAGGTGTTAACAAAACAAAGAGATAAAAATACTGGAAAAGCAGCAAATGAATGCACCTTGTGGCTATTTTTTATGTTTTTTGAAAAACTACAAGAGTTTCTCAATGCATATGGTGTGGGAGTTTTTTTCATGAGTAGATAACTATATGAATATTACTTTTTTGTTATTTTATGTTGGGGTTTGTTGAATTTTACTTAGCTCCAATTATAAATGCTGTAGCTGCCATGCTTGTTTTGTTACCTTTCTTTTTTTAATGAATAATGCTTATGGGTTCATGAAATCTAATATATTTTTTCTAAGATATACAACTTGATGTGGGTTTGTTTATATCTTTTTATGCGAACACGATGTGCATGAATTACTCAACATTTTCGTTTTCTTATTACTTTTGGTTATTTTTGTATTTGGGTTTTTGACTATTTTCTTTGCGATATATTGCTAATCTTGCTTCCTATTTGTGAATAAAATGTTGAATTTTACTGGAAATGAGAATAATCTTGCTTACTTTTTTTGTGATTTTTGTTTTTGGGTTTGTTGAGTTTTACTTAGCTCCAATTATGAATGCTGTAGCTACCATGCTCATTTTGTTACCTTTTTTTTTTAAGAATAATGCTTATGGGTTCATGAAATCTGATATATTTTTTCTATGATATACAACCATGATGTGGGTTTGTTTTTATGTCATAACAGAAAACCCCTATTGTCACATCATAAAAGTGAAAGGGTGAGTGAGCGTGAGACAGAGAGTAGTTGCTAACGGTAGGAAAGAGACGACAGTACGAGATGAGGAGGATGGTTTTTTTTTATCATGTGCACCAAATTCCATGCAATATTTTTGGGTTAAATGGTGGCAACTGGTCAGGTTTGGATTGGTACTTTACTTTTAGGACGCATTGGGTCCTAGGTTGGCATCAACCATGTTTCCCGGCGCATTGGGTCCGGGTCGGTACAGGTGGCAACGGGTCGGGTTATATTTAAATATATTTTATATATTGGGATCCGAAAAATATTATTAGATTTGGACTTGGACATGGATCTAACCGGATTAGAGCGAACTGGTAGCTAGACTCGAATAATGTTTGGGTCCAAGATTTAGACCCGGATATGACTGTTGAGTCCAATTTTTTGACCAATACCCAAACTTGGATCGAGTCTATTCCTCAGGTCTAGGCTGGGTCCGGGTCCATTACCACCCTTTACGGGTTGGATAATGACCTAGCCCAAGGGTTCGTATTTAGAAAATCAACATAACCATAAGTAATGGTATTTCCCAAGAAATCCGAGTCAGATCAATAGCCTCTTGTTTCTCTAGCCATCTTATTTCTATTTTGAAAGGTTTGGAACCAGCAGAAACAACTCTTAAAGAGAGCATGGTTGGGGTATGATCTGAAGAAAGTCTAGGTAAAGCTAGAACAAAAGCCAAAGGAAATACATCTACGCAATCCACGAAGATTAAAAATCTATCCAGTTTGTACATGGATAGATTAGTAGTACTATAATTCGACCACGTAAAGATCGTCCCAAAAATAAGAAGATCAAACATGGAATGGCTTTCAATAAATCTATTGAATATCCTCATAGCCGAATTTAAGGAAGTCCCTGAGAGCCGAATTTAAGGAAGTCCTTAAGAGATACTCATCAAGCCATCTAATAAGGTTGAAATAACCACCCAAGCAAATAGGGAAATGAAAACCATTGATAACTTCGGACATATCATCGATAAAACATTCTTTTAAAGCTGATAAATTCGGTCCATAGGCATTCTAAAATCTCCAAGAAAACCCAGAGAAGGTACATTAAAGCTCACAAGCAAAACCTTTCTCTAATCACAATAACAAAAGATCGGAATATTTGAGGATCTCATAATATCCATAAACCCCTAAAAGCTCCTATGGAATCAATACCCAAAAAGTCAACAGACCCTGAGCTCCGAACCTCCCTAACCCCAGAAACATTGGGTTTGGGAAGTTTGGTGTAGAACATCTCGCTTACATCTAGGTTCACCACGATCCCTTACATTCCGTGATATAATATTAATTTAAATAGAGATTTAGAAGAGGAACCTGGACCTTCCACACAAGGCCCAAAATAAACCTCTTTGAGCATAAGGGGTTCATCCAAAGTTGAGTCCTCTGAAGCACAAGACCCTGAAGAAGAAGCACCGCTGTTAATTTCCAGTACATCGAAGTCCTCCATCGAAATTCCTTTAGAAGCTGCCCTACTCTTAATAATTCCCATAGAAGTGCTGAAGATCGTAAAGCATGAAGAACCTTCCTTGAGCTCTCATTCTTTTTGGCAAGAGTTTTAACAAGCTGAGCTTTCTTATCCTTCCTCGAACTCGCAGCTTGCTTGAGAGGACTTTTACAAGGCTCATAAACCCCTTTTGCCACATTCTCAAAATTGGTTGTTGAAACGGTAGGCATCCTTGCTTTCTTTCTAGCTTTTATCTCATAAAAGAAAACCCTAATTGGCACATCACAATCCATGCTTATGTCCTCGACCCGATCTTGAACATTTCGGCTTTCTCAGCAACAGACAAACCCGCAGCTTTTTTTCAGGAACATCAAGTAAAATGGCAGGTACAGGCTGAGGGATGGAGTTAATAGGAGGGATATCATCCTGCCTCAACAAGGGCTATCTTTGGATCAATGAAAACCTCATCTTCAAATAACTCCGGAGGGTCTAGATGGTCTTGATTACCTTCCTCAACTTCCTGAAGCACCGGGATATCCACCGCCATGTTTGGTTCAATCACCACTAATGTAAGAGTGTCCACGTCTAGTGGGTCAAAACAAACTCTGGTTCTATTACCTTGGCCTTTCGAAGCAGCAAAACGAAAAGGCAAAGGATACATCTTCTGTTTCAGGGAGAAGAGGATACACAGAGCTTACACCGATGCCCTCTAGTGAAGGATGCCAAGCTTGGAGAGAGAATTAAACCAGAGGGAGATAGCCAAAAGATATGAAATCTCAGTTTTGATGGAAGATTTCAAATCCAAACTCGGGAAAGAGATCTTTCGAAAAGGGAAAAAGCATGCCACTTAGGCCAAGGTGTCCTTTTCCAAAGAGGGGGCATCATGAGACCTCGATCTTGTCTCCGAATTAGAAGGATCTCCTTCACCGCCAAACCTTCCAAAAACCAAAGGATTTGATGGGCCCAATGGTCTGCCATAAGTAAGTTGGTCCTTAGAGGGATCAACCACTCCAACATTCCCAAACGTCAAAAGATTTGGTGGGCCTTGAGGTCTTACTGAAAATGATGGGTTCACAAGTTCACTAACGGAAGAGTCTTTGATAAAGGCACTTGGAAAAGTCAAAGGTAATAGATGACCATTTTCGTTCAACATACCTGGTGCCAGATTACGAAACCTCCCAACAGGGATCCAACGCTTTTTTATTTTCAAATTTTGAAAATCCTGAGGAAAATAGTTGTTATGTCTCTTCTTTTGTTTCTGACATTTTTGGCGAGGCTTATCGGAAAGAACAACTCCGACATCGACATGGGTGAGCTCCAGGCCTTGAGATTTGCATTTGCGGAGAGTAACCTTCTGCCATTCATTTGAAGCTACCAAATAGCCATTTCCTTTATTGACATTATCACTCCCAAGATTCTTAACAACCATACCTTTCCATAGAAGTATTGATAATAAAGGAATCCTTATCAACCTGCGAGCGAATTTTCTTTGGTAAATCATGGCCTTGAAGCCTCCAAATTTTAACTTTAACAAATCTATAATCAGCTCCAAGTAAAGAGTTCCAATCAATATCACAATAGTCCCCACAAAGATTGGCTCCTTTCTAAATGTTGCTAAGATTCTTGACGTGAAGAGGAATGCCCCAGAATCAGATCCAAATTGTTTCTCTTTGAATAACAGATTCATGGATCGTAGGCTTCCATAAGTCCAGAGACATAAGGTTTACCTCTAACTCTGTAGAATCTGCGGTTTAAGGCTTTTACAACATCCTCTTCCGAGCGGAGAGTGAAAACTATTTTATTGCTACCAATAACTTTCACCTCCGGGACGTAGGCTAAACCCCATCCACGTTTCGCCCAATCATTTAAGCCAAAAATGTCATTTGAAGGAGTTAAGAAAGAACTAGCCACACAAAATTTTGTCTTAGACAAAAGATCACCTACCTCAGAACGACTAATAGAAAGAAAAGCGACTAAAGATTCAGAACCAACAACTCTTGCCACCTCCTCTTCCTCTATCTCACCTTCCTCCATCTCTCCTCCTTAACCAAGGTCAATTCTTAGATATTGTCCAATTTTATGCTCCTTTTAGCTCCACGACGTGAGGAGCATCTAATAAATAGCACACCCTTTGTAATGTGTGAAAAAATATTTTCACCCGAAAAAACTCCCATATGTAATTATGTATGAGTTTTTTTCACATCAATTAACTATCAATCGATGTCAAACATGTGATAGGGCTAATTAGTGTAAAGAAACCCTACACCTAATAACATAAGGGCTTTTTGTCATGTAGAATACTTTAATAGAATTATTTTTGCACGTACCATATGTGCCCAATGAATTGTGCATATCTATTTCCTCTCTATCAGCATCCTACCATTCAAACGGTGAACCTACATGGTCATTGTCGTTTGTATTAGACATGATAATATTAGCAAATGAGATGACTTGTTAATTTCAATTATTTCAAAAGACTGTACTCCCTCCATAATTTTTCTTTTGAACGGATTGTCGTAGTGAAATTTACAGTTGTTTCTTAATACAATATAAAACCTGGCTAAAAGTGTTTTTAGGATTCAAGTTTTTAGAATGCGACCTACTCAATTTAGCAGTCATAATAGTTAAAAGCTTTGGTAGGCACCTTAGAACTCCATTGGCAAAATCAGATTGTCAAAATTGCCATCCTGCTTTTTTGAAGCCTAATCTAAGTGCTTAGGTACTCAATTCTTTTACTAAAGACACTTATTTAGTGATTGATGTTTATTCAAAATTTAAACCAAAAAGTTCTCCTAAGTCGGTCATTTTCCTAATGGAGTTAATGTAAATTTTTTTCATATTAGAGCAGAGTATATACACTATATGTTTTATTACAAAGTAAATAAATGATCTAATTGAGGAAAGATATTTCGTGATACAACACACAAGTTCTCATCCAAGACACTGATAGGAGGGATTATTAAAATCAATAATTTTCCAGAACATCTTTATACTAGTTTTACTGACACCTTAGTCCCGAGAAAATCGGCAGAACCTCCCCTTCACTAGGGACGGATTCAGTACAGGTGTGTCCATAAAACTCATAGACCCAACTAATATCTGACAACTGAAAACGCTCCTAGTACCACTTAAATTCCTATAGGAATTTGATCAGGTTTTGGAGGTTAAAGAGAAATAACAAAATCAAACATTTGGAGGCACGAGAGGAGCTCACTTTCTTCGAAGTGTTTAACGCCGCCGACTCGGTAGTAACCGAGATGCAAATGGTACTTGCGAAAACACTCACAGGATACAGCTAGATCAAGAAACGTTTCTTGAATCTCTGTATTAAACGCTCAAAGACTCGCATAAAAGCACAATACTACTGATCTTGCTCCCTTACAATCAATATTAGTCACCTTTCACTTAATTTGTTAAGGCTACTCTCTCTGTTTTCCCACCCAGAAAACAACTGTTCTCACTCTTCTCTTTTTTAATTTTAAAAGCATATGCTTTTTATTTTTTTTTTCACCCTCCTCTCTCGTTCTTCACCTATTCTCTTTTATATGAAAGAGAGAATAAAATATTCACTATTTATATGGGATGAGGTTGTAAAATTAGGGGTGGCAATGGACCCAGACCTGACCTAGGACTCGTCGGGTATACTTGACATGTCTGGGTATGGGTCCAGCATTTGGAACTACGGGTAGGGTCCAAGTCCTACAAAGTGGACCTGAAAATTTTCAGGCCCGGGTCGGAGTACTAGTGAACATATTTGATCATTTAATTACATGACAAACCTTAAAAGTAATACAAAAGAAAATAACACCATATTGATTAGAGGAATGATAACTCCAAAAAAGCAGTCCAAGCACAACTTAGTTGCCATCTTTTCTCGTTTTTTTTTTCCTCTTTAGTCATACAAGACATTATTCTAGATTATGAGGGACATGGCTTAATACATGGGCATATGATTGCCACATCATTGGTTTTTGTGAATAGCAAGATCTACCATTGAACACAATACTCTTTGTTCTTCAAGTTAAGAAGCCCTTAACTCCTACTTGATATGGCCATGTATCACTAGGATTGATGCAACTGAATATTTAGTACTGAAGAGATCATGTTTCTTACAATGAATAGACAAACCTCATTGCATGGTTCGTCAACAAGCCAAATGTAATTAAGGGATACAAAATGCAGTGGTCATAGAGAGACATGATAAAGCAACATCCCAGTTAGAGCTACTAATCCAAAAAAGGAAAAAAAGAATCACCAAGAGCTCAAATGAATAGTTAATGGGATTCCCCTTCCCTTAAGTGTGCTAAAGATCAATTTTGATGGAAGCCCCAAGGAGACCTAGACCAGCAAGCTTTGGGGGCATCATTTCTGATGCTAAGAGTTTTGAAAGAGAAATTTAGAGAGAAGTAAGAGTAAGAAATCTTGAGAGAAAGAAGAGAGTTTAAAAGTGAGAGGGTTTGAGAATTTAGAGGGGGAGTTGAGAGTTTGAAAGAATATTTGAGATTTAAGAGAGTGAGAGAGAGAATTTGAAAGTAAAGAGTTGGGAGGAAAGAGAATTTGAAAGTAAGAGGTTTTAAGAGAGTAAGATATAAGAGATTAAGAGAGATTCGAGATTTTTGAGAGATAAAGATTTAGAGAGGACCATGCCCAGCTCTCGGGCCACATTTTGTGGCCAAAGGCCATAATTTCTTAGGCCCGGGCTGGCCCATTGCCATCCCTGGGTTTCAATGTGGTACCGAAGTTTCAAATGCGCTTTCGTATTGAAACTTGACAGAGAATCAAGTGTGGTGAACAGGGGGGAGAGAGAGAGAGAGCGATGAGATGCATTTAGAGAGAGAGAGAGTGATGGGATAAATTCAGATGCGAAGAGCGATGAGATGCATTTCGAGAGAGAGAGAGAGAGAGAGAGAGAGAGAGAGAGAGAGAGAGAGAGAGAGAGGTGGAGTACGTAGTTAGTTAGTAAGTAGTTAGTACGTACGTACGTACGTACGACGTAGGTAGTACGTACGTACGTAGAGTACGTAGTACGGTAGGAACGGTAAGTAG